TCTACCTTTTATTTATTATTATAACATATCTAAAATCCAAATAATGCCAGATAAGAATACCGATACATATTTTTTGCTGTCCGACATTTGTGATTTGCTACCCTCGTGTGGTAGGGGTTGGTAATGCCAAAGAGATGAGCAGAGAGTATCGAAAGTGGAGTAAAGATCGCAAGTGGTTTGTGATCGTCCATTAATGAACCAATTTAAATGCATGACACGAGGGTAGAACGTCCGATCACGGAACTGTAACGCTGCTGTCGCGACGCTCGGTCGTATAGTCGCCGAGCGTCGCCGGGCGGCGTCGTGGACGGCGACGACGATGCCTCGCTGTCACCATCGTCCCCTCTGACCTTTAGCCATGTGCTTAATGTGCAAAGGGATTCTAGGAATTCTCGGAGAGAAGATTTGATGACCCCGTTTTACTATTTCCACTTTTATTTGCCGCTGATGGCATTATGTTTACTGTTTCCCACCGCTATTTTTACCATAGCGGACAGATCAGGACGAGAAAAAAAAATGGAAAGGAAAAACACAAATCATCTGAAAAGATTTTCTTTTGTGTCTTATTATAGCAAAAGGCGTAATGGTCTTCTGCAATAGAAGGGAAATTTTCGAGGAATAGTCGTCTTTTGTCGATGTATCGCATATTAAGTTTTGTTTAAACAATTGAGTGTTGCTTCGTTATTAAAGACAAAAACGAAGAAACAAAAGAAAACTTTTGATGATCGTCGAGAGGCAGACGTCTTTTGTCAACCTATCGCGTAGTTGTTTATTTAAACAAATGATTGTGTTTCCATTGTTAAAAGCAAAAAAAAATGCAATGAGGATCGTCAAAGGGTAGTTGTCTTTTGTCGGTTGCTGTATAGCTTCGTTTAAATAAATGACTGTGGTTTCGTTGTTGAAAACAAGATAAAAAAAAAGAAAGGGAGTAACAAATGAAGAGAAAAGCTCGCCAAAGTCCAGACCTGCTACGATAGTATATAGGTATAGATACATATAGTCTGGCGTAGCCTGCAATTATTATTATCGAAGCAAGGAGCAAGGAAGGAAGAAAAGAGGACGAAGGACGATATGATGTCCACACGGTAGCGTTGCTTAAGGCAGCCGCTCAGCTCGCAGGCCTGCCACCACATAATAACAACCTACCTTACCAAACGCGCTTCGTAATCGCTTCGTGTTCTACACCGCCTACTTTGTAATTATATTTTTGATACATGTTTTGCGATGCAAAGGCGGCGGTGGCAGCAAGAGACGTGCCGATCTTCTTCTCTTTCTTCTCCTTCGTCGTCGTCTTTTGTTGGTCTTCGTCGCTGTATTCCTCTCGTAAGTATCTCGGATCTGCTGCTATCGCTGATCGCTGGCTGATAACGCCGGATTTAATATGGCGGCTCTTATCGCGAAACGATGGATGCTCTCTTGAACGCGACCTTTAAAAGCCCTCTTGAAAAAAAAATTAGATGCCTACGATCAAAGCGTGCCGAGAAAAACGAAAACGTTTGGCGAACGGATAGAAAAGTTCTTTCAAGTAGCTGCCAACGAAATTTTAAACAGAAAAAAAAAAACAATTGAGGGTGGTAATAACACAAAAAATAGAAACTAATGCGAAGATTTACTTATGATAGAAATAAGTGTAGAAATATTTTATACAAAAACTAAAGATTGATAGATAAATAAAGAGGATGAAGGAAAATCTTTCTTGGAACATAAATTTTGTGTTTATAATCGATGCGTGTGCCATGTAGAGGCCATCTTGCTAAGCAAGAAAAATCGAGGGTTCATTAAAAACAAAAGCCAGTCAATATGTCGACCAGAATTTAGAATATCCTAAACACTTGCGTCTGCATTTGTTTATATGTAACGATTTATAAAAACAAATGAACAGAGAACACAAGGAAACATCAGAAACAGAAGCTACGTACTCTACAACATAGAAGACGAAACAATATTTTAAATTTAAAGAGGACTGAGTGATAACTAAAGGCAAAATAAGTTATTTTTTTGGTGGAAAAACAGTACAAAAAGAACTTTAATAAAAAAAATAGTTAAATAGGTAGATATGTACAAAAAAAGTCTTAAACAAATACGTATCTATACAAAAAGAAAACNGAAAAACAGTACAAAAAGAACTTTAATAAAAAAAATAGTTAAATAGGTAGATATGTACAAAAAAAGTCTTAAACAAATACGTATCTATACAAAAAGAAAACTTTTTCTTTCACCTTTTTGGCACGGTTTTCGTTTTTTCGACATCTCCCTCCCTGAAAACTTTTTTCTTTTACCTTTTTGGCACGGTTTTCGTTTTTTCGCCATCTCCCTCCCTATTTTCACCCCCCAAAAAGAATTCTGCGTCCTTTATTTTCCGAAAAATCTCAAGCAGCAGCCGTGCCAATTTTTTGTTACAGAGAGGACATAGTTGAGAACAAAGAATACATTTACTTTTCCTCGCTCGCCCAAGGGAACAGTTAAGGGTAGCATTTATATGTGTACATACTATTTAGGTTGTTTCGTGTATTATGTTGGCGGGAAAGTCCCGATGGTCAACCCCACATGAGGCGCGGTGCGGCGGTCCCCTTTTTCGTTCTATATTCATCACCGATTCGCGCATAACATAACTTACATTGCAAAGACGACACCCTGGGGGGTTGAAGTTGTAAGGCGTTTTTTTTTTTTTTTCGCGTATATAACAACCGACGGTGCCTCTGAATTAGCGGTCAATTTTTTAGATCCTCTTTCGCTGTATATATATATATATATATATGTATTAGAATAGAAGAACGGACAAAATCCAACGAAAGAATCCCTTAGGATAGCACATCGTGCAGTGGGTAGTAACATTTTTTTCCCGGGATGGTAAAGGTTGTTACGAAAATTTATAGAACCCCGACGTAATAGTAAGTTATAGGTACAGGGTGTTCTTCGTAAAAATCGTCGTCATGTCACATCAAATTTCTTTTGGCCAAAACACAAATCATCTGAAAAGATTTTCTTTTGTGTCTTATAATAACAAAAGGCGTAATGGTCTTCTGCAACAGGAGGGAAGTTAAGCAATTTTCGAGGAATAGTCGTCTTTTGTCGATGTATCGCATATTCAGTTTTATTTAAACAATTGAGTGTAGCTTCATTTTTAAAAACAAAAACTAAGAAACAAAAGAAAATTTTTGATGATCGTCGAGAGACAGACGTCTTTTGTCAGCCTATCGCGTAGTTGTTTATTTAAACAAATGATTGTGTCTTCATTGTTAAAAGCAAAAAAAAAATGCAATGAAAATCGTCAAAGGGTAGTTGTCTTTTTCTTTGTATTACAGTAAAAAAAAGCACAAACTCCAGTGAAAAAGTCCTTCAAGATAATATATATCACATTTTACCGGTGGTGATAAGATTTTTACGCATCGTTCCGACTAACCCCCTCCTAATAATCCCTTAAATCGCTGTTTATAAATGAATCATTTTTATAAATTTCATAGACCATTGATTCGTGCGTACCGACAAACACACCCCAAGTGCAACACATACTACTAAAATTCACCCCCGTGGTACACGACCTTCTACGTTACGTACACTTCTTGTTCAACCATCATCCACCCTCCAATGATCCAAATCTGGATCTCTACTTATAAATCAAACTGGCATTACGGCATCGCTATCAGTGTTGCCAATCAGTCGTTAACACAGATGGTATCGGGCGTTCAAACTGCTCCCAGGACCGCGTATGTATCGCTAGAGGAGCAGGTTGTATTGGGGGAGAGAGAAACTTAACAGATGCAATCTAAGATATTATTATTTATTTTCATGTAAGTTCGATATCTAAATCGCATGGAGATTTACTTACATTTCTCCCACTTTTACCAAATGCGCATGAATTACATACGTATATGAAGAACTACTCAGTTGTTCACATTTCTTTATATACCTACTTATTTCAATGACAATAAAAACAAGTGCAGTCGACAGACCCTCGAAACAAAAGAGGCATCTATCATCATTAACAAAAAAAAACGATCACATTTTATCAAACATTCATTTATTTGTTTCTATCCCGCGATATCCATTTGAATTAACGAATTCAGAACTGTTTAAATGTAAATGCTAGAATACTGTATTCTTATATTAGGACAAAATTAAAAGAAAAAAGCGAACCCCAAAGAATACGGCAATTAGGGGGTGATTTATGTAAAGTTTTAAGCAGGAAATTGCGTTTTGCTTAACTGTGTTGTTTGATGAAATTTAACTCTCGTTCTTTTTAAGTAAATTCAAGTAAATATATTTTCGAATCTTGAAAAGTAAATAAATAGGTGGTAAAGTGTATAAAATATCAATAATTTTTCTTGATCTATTTTACCCATTATTTTTTTATGTTTTCGATTATTATTTGTCCCAATTACATCAGACAAAATTTGTTTAAAAACATATTAATTTTCCCACCTATTATAATTGTAAGTTCAAAAACTTGTGAAATATTTCCCTTTCTTACGGAATTTTCGTATATTATATATACGCATCAAAATTGACACATTTAAGCAACTTTACCATTAACCATGAATAATTACAATTTTCAAGGAATTACAGCGTTAATAATAATCTATCAGTAACACCATTTAAAATATCATTTGTTACTGTTAACAAAAAATTATTTGTTGATATCAAATAATGAAAAAAAGAAAAGAAACTAATACGTTTGCTTACACTTTCATATTTTTTTGTCTTTATATCTTTACCTTACTTCTGAATGTTAATGATCTCTTATGTAATAAATTAACAAAAGTACGATAAAAACTTTTGTTTTGCTGCCCAAATTTAAATTTTTGAAATTTATGGCAGCGTATTGAGCTGCTAGCGCAATCTGTGTGAAAATTCTCAAATTAATGAACAAAATATTCCCAGGAGTCAATGCGCGAAGACGAGTCAGCATTCTGTTCTATCGGTAATTGTTAAGCTTTTCTAAATTTAATGAAATAATTGGTAGAAGGTGACCTAACTAATTAATTTTATTAAATTAACAGATAATGTTGTCGTTATTTGTACGCTTCATTACGAGATGATATAATATTCTGCAAGATAATTTATTCGTGGACATAACCTCTACAACCTAACCTGCAATAATTTGTCACTACGTTAAACATATTTCTTTTAATACATTCAGTAATTAAGGATGTCTCAACAGTAAGTATTCAATACCTAACAATCTGCTAATGAATTAATGTAATAATTACTTATTTGTTGAGTTATGGATTATTTGTACCACCAAAAAGTAAACCCACTGGAACAGTACTTCAAAAATCGTCAGTTTTTGGGGACGATTCTGACTCAAACGATGAATGTGATAAACCAACAGGACTGAAAACAGCTACCAAACGTCAGGTACAGATAAATGGGGCTGTACATTGTGTTATCATTTTAGTCTATATTATTGTTTTGTAGGATAGATTGATACAAGAGAAAGCAATAGAAGAGGACCCAACTGTATACCAGTATGACGAAATCTACGATGAAATGGACAAGAAAAGAACTGAATCAAAACTATCTAGGAAAGATCTGGACAAGAAACCAAGATATATAAACAAACTACTCCAAAGTGCTGAAAGACGTAAGAGGGAAAATGAAAGAAGAATTGAAAGACAAGTACAGAAAGAGAGGGAAGCTGAAGGTAAATTACATTATTTTGGTATTCTTTTTTATTTAGTACATATTAAGTGATTACTTTATTAATTAGTGAATATAACTAAATTTTATTCTGTTTTGAATAAATTAATTTATAAATGTGCAGGTGAGATGTATAAGGACAAAGAGTCCTTTGTTACTTCCGCTTATCGAAAAAAGCTAGAGGAACTAAGACAACTGGAGGAACAAGAAAAAAGAGAAGAGTATTTGGAAGGTATTGGTGATGTGACCAAGCAAGGAAATTTGGATGGTTTTTACCGGCACTTGTATGACCAGAAGGTATTATTTGAAGAAAACATAAAGGAAGAACCTAATACATCGATGGACAATGAGGAAACAAATGTCAAGACTGAAAAGGGAAGCGACAATGAAGATCAAGAAGGTGCTGAAGGAGGAGAAAAGGCAGGTGAAAAGGATCCCAAAAGCAATATAAAGAAAAGGAAATATAGAAAACGAGATAAATCAGAATCAGAAGAGGAAATAAAGGAAGAAGTGCCAGAAAAGAAAATGCAAACACATCTTCCCTCCAACCTGGACGCCGATTCTGACTTCAGCATAGACTCCAGTGACTCTGAGAACGAAGACAACAACCCAAAGACAGAAGAAGAGCCCAAGCCAAGTGAAAACACTGACAACAACTGTAATGATGAAGTTAATGACAAAAAAGAAGATGTAAAACAACCTATTGAGAACGAACGCGAAACGATAACCAAAGAAGAGGAGATGAAGGAAATTGAAGAGCCAAAAGAAAAAAAACCTAAAGTGGACATTTGGAAGAAAAGAACTGTTGGCAACGTCTTTGAGGAAGCAGTCAAGAGATATTTCGAAAGGAAAGCCCAAAGGGAAGCTGGGACCTTCAGCCGTTTTTAAGTAAGTTAATTTATTAATTTATAGTATTTGGAAATAAAAATTAACATTAAAAAATGTAAAATTTTATTCTATTTTCGTCTTTCTCATCTCACAAAAATTCTAATACAAATAACGTACAGAAAAAAAGATTTATTCATCACACGCATATTTATTAAGTAATTAATTAATTAATTGTCCTCTTAATATGAACACGAGACACTAATGGAACAAAATAAACAACAGAAGTTTATTTAACACGTCGCTGTTGCCTCTGCCTGTAAATATCGTTGACTGGCGGCAGTATCATGTCTTCATCGTCAGAAGCGTCTAATGCGAGCGCTACTCTCTTCCTTCTCTTTATAATGCCCCCTTGAGCTTCATCTACCACCCAATGGACCGATTTTGCTATGTCGAACAAACGCAAATCTCCACCGTTTTCTGCAGACGTGGGAACTGGAAAAAAAGCAAAGTGTAAGTGACCGTGTTGAGAGCGCTTTCTGTACCACTTACTCATTTCTGGCAGTTGGACTCTATTAAATATCTCGATCATTTGATCAATGTTAACGAACGGTCCTCTAAAGCATGACGGGGGCGGTAACATGGTGCACAGGTGGGCTGCTGAAGGAGGCATTGGAAACGAACCACCAGGTATAGGGTGCTCTCCGGGTAACGGGTTCGATTTTGGCTTGTATGGAATCATGTGGGCTGTGTCAGGCTTCGGAATGGCATTATCTTCATCATAATTTATAAACTGCTGTAGTACGTGATTTCTGCCGGCCCCAGTGATGGTTACAACCTCGGTATATCTGTTTAAAAGATTACAGGGCATCTTTTAAGTGTTAAGAATTTTGCAGTGGTTTTACATACCCTATACTCTTGAGTTCAGCAGCTGTGCACGGGTACAAGTCCAGAAAGCGATACCTGTCGACCAGTTGAGCGGTCTCTTTACCCTCGAACTCTTTTATTTTGTTCAGAACTTCAGCCCTTCGTCTCTCCACTTTGACAATACTGTGTAAATCCCCTATGTTACTTTCAAACTCCAAAAACTTATTCCAAATGTCTCTGTAATAAGCACAACACTTGTTGATTCTTCAGTATTGTGTAAAACAAAACAAAACCTTACACTGATTTTGCAGGTTCTAGACTACCAGAGGACAGCACCCTTTCGAAAAGTACCCTCGTATTGTTGTCCTCATTCAAATGGGACAGGTAATCTATGTAACAAGTGATATAATCCGGATTGTCGCTGAATTTTTTCAGTCCCAATTCGAAAATACGAAAGGCGATGTTCTTGTCTTTGCTACAATAGTATTCCATTAGTGCTGCGCAAACGAAAACGTGATATTTCGATCTGACGTCTTCTCTGGCCCTTTTAAAGACGTTCCGCGCCGATTTGATGCCTTCAGCCCTCCGTGCAAATTTCATGTACTGCACATAGGCCAGAGTGGGATCAATATCTTTGATTTCTAAATATTTTTGATAAATTTGATGAACTTTGTCATATTTAAGTCTGCCCTCTTCGTAATCCGCGTACGCGAAATATAAAAGCATATTTTTACTCAATAAACTACTCGTAGCTCTTTCGAACATATTGGCAGCCTCTTCGCTGAATAATTTCGACGCATTCACATCCTGAAATTAAATTACAAATTATGTAAAACACTAAAACTCAAAATTCCACAAAAAAACATTATATTTATTTGTTATTAAACACTTTAATTATATAAAAAGACTTACTCCTTTTTCTTGTAATACTTTGCAGCTGTACTCCAAAAACTGCGCAGCCTGGTACCAGACGTCTGGATGGTGTCCGAGACACAAAAGACATTGCTCGAAGGCAAAAACGACCCTCTTCGTCAACAGGGCGGTGTCTTCGGTCCTCAGGGGATTGCTCTTCTCCCAAGCGATGTACTTCTGCCACAACTCAACCTGGGTAAGTAGAGACAATTTTATATTGGTGTTAGTGATTATTTCAAAGGTGTTTTGTTTACTTGTTTTTGTTCTTCGGCTGTTCCTGTGGGAGGTACGCTGGGAGCATTTCTATTTATACCCCGTATTTGAACCTCTAATTCCTTGGCTACTCTGCGGGCGTTCATATAGTCTCTGCTACGTTCTATAGACATTTTTTCAGCTATTATGGGATTTATTGCCTAAAAATTTAATCATTAACAAGTCTGTTAATTAAAGTCGCGTTTGCATTTCAATAAAAAAAATATGTTTAACCTGTTCAAAAGATATGTAGTCCTTCCAAAACGTCTCCATGCCGACCATAGGGTTAATAATACCCCTTTGATAAACCTTTCGGACAGCAGAAATTTTTTGGTTCTCAGCGTACGATCCCACAGCTTCTACACTCTTCAAAAAGTTAACATAATCATTCCAAATTGAATAAGAATGAATATCCATTCCAATTTTGTCAAGTGCAAAATCATATGCTTGTGCCATTTTCTCTCTAAAAGAAGTTTGTTCTTTTTAATCTAATTCTTATTCACTGATTAACAAGACGAGAACATTTTACATACTTATATGTGGGTAAAGATGCTTTGGTTTCTTTCACATATGTTAAATACAATTTCCACAGTTCAATGTTCAAAATCTTCATTAAACACCTTTGAAAGAGCTGTAGAGGAAAACTTTTTAATGATAAGAAGACTTGATGTCCAGTAAATACTGTTACGGACACATTTGTTTAGATACACTTGTCAACAAAAAACATACATTAGAAAAACACATTTACTGTTTAAAATTTATTTATTCTTGCAGTTTTTGTTGGATAGAGTAATAGACACACACACTGTCTGTATTTTGTTGACAAATGTATACTACTTTGATGACATTTTCAATGGTTTAAGGGAAGTATTTGTGCCAGAAAACTTATTTTTTGTAACTTTACGGCCTTGTATAATGTTCAGTGTAAATTAAGGCCCATGTACCTACGTTACAAAAAACGATTTTCTTTGTTTAGAACTCAAAACAATGACGGCAAGTAAATAAAATAAATTGCTTTGAAGCGTCATTTATTTTCAAGAGAAGTTTATTACTTCTTTTTAACAGATAAAATCGTAACAGGAAATTTTTACAAACAAACTTGACATTTATTTTAACTATGATACAGCCTACCTTTTCCACCTTCTCAAAGTTTCTCGATTTCATCTGAAATAAAAGGAAAAAGATTTCGTTAATAATCACAAAGTTAGTTAAATAGTTATAACCTAACCTCAAAATAGTTTTCAATTTCTAATTATTTAGATCAAAAAATACCAGCGGTGCTTACCTCGTGCTCAATATAAATTCTCCAGTATCTTGAGGCACTCGGAAATATCAAAATTAAGTGCTCATAAAGCGGTCTCACTTCGGAAATATGTTTTGTTTGTGATTCTCTGAGAAGAATGGACCATGACTCCAAGTCATAAGGATTCTTCTCAACTTGCTTTTGAGTTCTATACAATTTGTCGTTTCCCCAATCCTTAATTATTTAATGAAACAATAATTAACTCTTTAGTGATGTGTGCCTGATAAATTTTTGTTTACTTACTATGTGCAGTCTTTCGTCGGTCATTGTAACGGCGTAAGTTTAAAGTTGTAAGTGAAGTTTTTAGTTTAAACTGGTATTCTGACGATAATCATTAAATAAAATGTAGGATAATTACCACTTTGCACTCAAAATAAGCTAACAAATTATTAAATTAATTTTATTAACCTGACAAAACGCCTACGTGAAGTAACATGAACTTGTAGCTGTCATGCTTTATTTAGCCAATTTCAAATTAACTTTTCAATGTTGTAATTTGTTTTTTCAATTTTTACTGTTTGGATTAGGAATAAAATGCAACTAATTGAAAAACAACTAGCCGGCTAACAATAATTCTTTGTTTTATTTGTAATATTTAATATTTAATTCGTTTATTTAAATTTTTTATAAATAAGTACAGTTCTGATTCTTTAGACACATCCAGTATTAACCTAACTCTAACCTCAAAAGTTCAATTGTCAAAATACGTTTTTAATTATGAAAAAAGGCTATAAAAGTGCAAGTAATTATAAATACTAATATATATAACAAGAAATAAACATATTTATTGAAAAATTTAAGCAATATTTTCGTGAAGTCTATAAGATTAATTTAGTATGTTTTGGACTATACTTTTACAATCACATCTATTTTCAACAAGTCACTAATGCTGTACTGGCCGATTTTACAGGATTAAGCCTCCTTGTGAGACTGCCTCTTCCAAAAGGACACGAAGTGGATCAGAACTGCATCAATTCAAGCTGGAAATGTGCGTAGAATCTTTAGTCCCATCATCAACCAGGATGTGCACCCACCTGAAGTTATACAAAAGGTAGGTACCAAATGTTATTTACCTTGACCGCTTCTTCTTTCCTATTGTAGTCTTGTAATGCTGTAGGATATATATATAGGGCAGAAAAGCTGCGGTGGTATTAGTCGAGGTTTTCTTAAAGCGGTTAAGGTAAATAATATTTGGTTCCTCAGCTTTAGGCAGAACAACAACAAAAGCACCAACGCCAAGCGGAACCGACAGTCGACCAAAGGGCGCTTAGCACCACCGACTTTCCACCACCACTCGTACCTTTAAAGCGTCTGGAAGAAAGAAAAATTCCACTAAACCACGTCTCGTTAGCTGGGAAAATCTTCATCGTACAGACTCCGACCGTAAAAGCCTACAGTCGTACACGTCAAGTTTATTATATCAGTGTAGTTGTATTAACATTATCAATTTGTATGTAATTTATCCTTTAAAATCTCTTTTTGTACTTATTGTGGTATAATATCTCAAAACAACATGTATTTTTAACGAATAGTCATGTAAATTAGAAACTAAATTGTTTAATTAATGTTTATGTAATGTAAGTGTATTTACCTGTTCAATTTTTATTAATTCTAATTTATAGTTCAAATTTGTTCTGTTAACGTAGTCATTTGTATGTAATTTATCCCTTAAAGTCTCTTTTTTTACTTATTTTGGTATAATATCTCAAAACAACATGTATTTTTAACGAATAGTCATGTAAATTAGAAACTAAATTGTTTAATTAATGTTTATGTAATGTAAGTGTATTTACCTGTTCAATTTTTATTAATTCTAATTTATAGTTCAAATTTGTTCTGTTAACGTAATCATTTCTATGTAATTTATCCTTTAAAATCTCTTTTTGTACTTATTGTGGTATAATATCTCAAAACAACATGTATTTTTAACGAATAGTCAATTGTTAATTAATATTTATGTAATGTAAGTGTATTTACCTGTTCAATTTTTATTAATTCTAATTTATAGTTCAAATTTGTTCTGTTAACGTAGTCATTTGTATGTAATTTATCCCTTAAAGTCTCTTTTTTTACTTATTTTGGTATAATATCTCAAAACAACATGTATTTTTAACGAATAGTCATGTAAATTAGAAACTAAATTGTTTAATTAATGTTTATGTAATGTAAGTGTATTTACCTGTTCAATTTTTATTAATTCTAATTTATAGTTCAAATTTGTTCTGTTAACGTAATCATTTCTATGTAATTTATCCTTTAAAATCTCTTTTTGTACTTATTGTGGTATAATATCTCAAAACAACATGTATTTTTAACGAATAGTCAATTGTTAATTAATATTTATGTAATGTAAGTGTATTTACCTGTTCAATTTTTATTAATTCTAATTTATAGTTCAAATTTGTTCTGTTAACGTAGTCATTTGTATGTAATTTATCCCTTAAAGTCTCTTTTTTTACTTATTTTGGTATAATATCTCAAAACAACATGTATTTTTAACGAATAGTCATGTAAATTAGAAACTAAATTGTTTAATTAATGTTTATGTAATGTAAGTGTATTTACCTGTTCAATTTTTATTAATTCTAATTTATAGTTCAAATTTGTTCTGTTAACGTAATCATTTCTATGTAATTTATCCTTTAAAATCTCTTTTTGTACTTATTGTGGTATAATATCTCAAAACAACATGTATTTTTAACGAATAGTCAATTGTTAATTAATATTTATGTAATGTAAGTGTATTTACCTGTTCAATTTTTATTAATTCTAATTTATAGTTCAAATTTGTTCTGTTAACGTAGTCATTTGTATGTAATTTATCCCTTAAAGTCTCTTTTTTTACTTATTTTGGTATAATATCTCAAAACAACATGTATTTTTAACGAATAGTCATGTAAATTAGAAACTAAATTGTTTAATTAATGTTTATGTAATGTAAGTGTATTTACCTGTTCAATTTTTATNTACATATTTATTTAATCTTACAAGATAAGCCCTATTTTTTTTTTTATTGTTTTTGTTTTCGTGGTAGAGGGGAAATCTTCAAAAGACACCCAGACGTCCGTACGACTGGGTAGTGTTGGATTCCCTCCTATGAGGACCTACCAACTAAAACCCCTCTACCTTAACCCCTTACCACCCATGTTTGGACCGTTTTTGCCATCTAAATGAACGAAAATTAAAACTCTGAAGTACACATCTTGCAGAGAAAATGTCGTAGAATCTAATGGTAATTACAGAATTACGATAGGGCGTCAAATAACCCCGATACAGGGCCGAAATCAATCAATAACTGGGAAAATTTCAAACTGTTATAACGCCCATCTATGTTTTTTGTATTAAACGATGGATATTAAAACTCTGAAGTACACATCTTACAGAGAAAATGTCGTAGAATCTAATGGTGCTTACAGAATTACGATGGGACGTCAAATAACCCCGATACAGGGCCGAAATCAGTCGATAACCGGGAAAATTTCAAACTGTTAAAACGCGCATCTATGTTTTTTTGTCTTAAACGATGGAATATTAAAACTCTGAGGTACACATCTTGCAGAGAAAATGTCGTAGAATCTAATGGTGCTTACAGAATTACGATGGGACGTCAAATAACCCTGATACAATTTTCTCCACCAAATTATGCATGTATTGTACATATAAACCTTCCTCTTGAATTACTCTATCTATTAAAAAAAACGCATTAAAATCCGTTGCGTAGTTTTAAAGATCTAAGCATACACATGGACAGACAGCGGGTGAAACGCGTTGCATGATTTCGTTACATAGCAACTCGTATGAAACGAATTTACCCTACCGTTCGTAAAGAAGTTTCACATCAAAAATATCTGCTTTTATTTGTAAGTACCCTCGTATATAAATGGGCATTTGTCATATTTGACAACTGAAGTTACCAATATACTAAAACATTTATTAATTTCAATTAACATTTACTGTAACAACTTGAACTCGAATTTACGTTAAAATGTGTGACTGGGACACAAATGTACATTACGTTTGCAGTGATTTATTCACGTCTTACGCTTCGGTCGATGAGGAGGGTAATCAAGAAGAAGAAGACGAAGAAACCAAGTATCTGAGAGAAATAGAAAGTAGACAAAATCAGCTCCTGGCATGGATCGACGATTTACTAAATTCAGAAGAATTAGAAGAATATTTCAGCAAAAAGCTGCCCAAAATCGATGCCGAAGTCCAATGTCACATGAGCCAAATATCTATTGCATCCGAGATTGAAACGGCCGATGCGAAAAATATACCCTCCAAATATCCCTTAACCGAACTGAGTATTAGGAAATATAAACTGATGAAAAAGATTGACTGTTTAATAAAATACAGGAATAACAAGGCGATTCAGGAAAATCAATTGAAATCCATAGCTGCCATCAGGGTACGTAATTTATATGTATACAAATGTGCTGAATATTTTTGGCCCTGATCAGAACAAACCATATATTGGAAAGTCATTACATTTTAAATGTAATTAATTAATCCTAAGCAAATCTTCCAAAGTCCCTTTCGTCTTCCAACATTACATTTGCTCTTTCCCTACTTTTCTTCCCTTGCACACCAGTAGGTATTTTTGTTTTACTTCTATCTATTTTCATAAATATTCATATTCTATTTTACTTAAAGCTATCTGTAAGTCCTCCTTCCTAGATGCTAATACTGCTATATCATCTGCAAATCTAAGCATACTAATCTTTTGCCCTTGCACATCTATCCCTACAGTTGTACTGTCTTTAATGATGTTGATCGCGTCTTCGATGTATAGGTTAAAAAGTAGCGGTGGCAGTGTGCATCCCTGTCTGACTCCCTTCCTAATATTTACTTCTCTTCTTTGCAGCCACAGCTCTATAACTGCCTGTTGCTCTTTATACAAACTAAGTATCACTCTTCTATCTCTGTAACTCATCCCTACATTTTTAAGTATATTTAACATCTTGTCCCATTTAATATTGTCAAAAGCTTTTTCTAATTCCACAAATCCTATGTACGCGCTCTTTCCTTTCTCTATTGTTTTCTTTATTGTTACCCGTAAAGCTAGAATAGCCTCCCGCGTTCCTCTATTTCTTCTAAACCCAAATTTATCTTCCCCTAATAGTTCTTCCACCCTTTTTTCCATCCTCTGTACAATTCTAGTTAAGATTTTTAACGCATGGGAAATTAAGCTAATTGTTCTAAGTGGACCATATTTCAAAATTAACGCAGCTATAAAACAGTAAATGAAAATATTACAAATCTCTAACACGATTTCTAATTGCATCATAAAAACGTTTTTGTGCTAAATATGCCAAAAATAATTTTTTAAAAATAGCAAGATGAATGTAAAACTAACCAGTTTTATATAATTAGAATTGGGGCCAAGTCAGGTTAAGTAGGCCATACTGTCAAAGGGTTAAAATAGAGTATCGACATAGGGCAAGTCGTAAAAGGGTTTAGGTATAGAGACCAACATCTGGGTCGCATAAGTCTTAATAGGGCAAACCGTAAAAGGGTTTTGGTAGGGTGTCGACGTCAGGTCCATATAAGTCATAATAGCCGTGAAAGGGTTTAGGTAGGAGAACATAAGTCTTAATAGAGCAAGCTGTAATAGATTCAGGTAGGGTCACAAAAGTCTTTATAGGACTGTCATAAAAGGGTTTAGGTAGAGTCACATAAGTCTTATTAGGGCAAGTCGTAAAAGGTTCAGGTATATATAGGGTATCGGCATCAGGACTACATGAATTTTGATAGGGGAAGCCGTAAAAGGGTTCAGGAATGACAGCATAAGTCTTAATAAAGCAAGGTGTAAAAGATTCAGGTAGGGCCACATAATACTTAATAGGGCTACTATCAAAGGGTTGAGGTAGGGCCACATAAATATTAACAGGCCAAGCCGTAAAAAGGTTCAGTTATAGACTGTCGGCATTAGGGCCAAATCACTCTAATAAATAAGGGATATCGGAAAAAGGGGGTTATCACTATCAACCACTTATATTGTGCACCCTATAATAGGAAAAAATTGAAGAAGCAAAGAGGCTTCTGTTGTGTCATCCTCGCGAAAGGGCCATTGAGGCAAGCAACAAACGGAAAAGGGCTATTGAATGTATGAAACAGCTGCTGAAAGACAATTTCAAAAATTTCCATCATAACAGCAAAGTGATGGATAGGGTCCTCGCGTATCAAAAACTGAAACGTTTTCGACGGAAAATGAGAAACGAAAGACGATTGGAGATAATCCGCAAAATGGCGAGGGAATTTCGGAGACAAGAACAAATTGACTACGAACAGAACAGGACCTACGATTACAAAGTAAAACCCAGCGGGTTTATCATGAGAGGGCTTGAAGTCGTTGGAACGAAGGCAACGTTGTTTGTAAGTAACGTTTACATAATAGCCCAGTAAAGGTATAGTTGCATGTAACCAAGGAGTACAACACCCCAAATGCTATACCATATTCCTTCAGGAGTATCTTATTCAGAGATGTGCAAAATGGTTTATTAAATGTACTTACAAAATGCAAATACTTTTTTGATTTGTTATTTCAAATGTAAAATGCAAAATAGATCTCCCTTTTGTATTTTAAATGATAAATTCAAAATACGTATTTTCAAAATACTTTTTTGTAGTAGGTAGATACCTATTTAATTTTCTACATGCACTTAGCATAAAATATTTTTTAAAAAAACCTTGCAAGCGTTTCCTCATTTTTTAAATAATATTGGATTTTCTCTAGACTAATAGTGGTTTTTGCATTATATCACCAGCTGCGAAGATTAAGTATGATTCACATTTTTTTTTTGAAGTGATTCAGATATAGTTTTTTTACGTTTACGTTATAGTTTCAACAGTTCAGCAACAAATAATTCTTCTATGTGCTTCCTGATTTTCCTTTGTCACCCGTTTTAATTGGAAAAAAGACACTGATGCTAAAATAGTTTGTTTACCGTGAAAGATCAGAGCCAAAATAGGGTTGCAAATAATTTTATTGATGTAAAACCAACATTAATTATTTTATATCAAAATATTTACAACCCCTTTTAGTTTCCGATCTTTTACGCATTGTAATAAGAGAAAGAAATGGAATCCATAGTTTCTTTAGCTTTTGGTTCATCTAATAAGTGAAGCTTTCCTAATAGTTTTCTAAGAATTTTGGATTATATGCATTTATTAGCACACCAGAATATCTTGTAGCTTTCAATTTTATACAGCTGGCATATATAAATTCGATATTGTTTTGCGGGCTGTTTTGTCGTAATTCATAGAATTTCGTAGTTCCTTGCTAAAGGTATGATAAGTGGTGATTTGGCAGATGCTGATATCAATTTGGAACTTCAAAATTCCATGGACCGTAACACTGAACCCGGAAAACAATGTCGATCCAACATTTTAGATAATCCATTTTCAAGGAATTTAGAAGTTTTTGGGCTCTCTGCAGTTAAATAATTAGAAGGCATTCATGGAATGTCTCTTTGTCCCCTTTTTAAGCTTCTAATACCTTCAATGGTCAATGTGAGCAACTTTAATTCATCTTTTTATATAATGTTTGATCGGTGATACTAGCAAAATTTTTAACGGAAAAAATGTATTTTGCATTTTACAAATAGCAAATACATTTGGAAAAGTATTTTAAATAAAATACAAAATGCTTTTCTCAAAAAAGTATTTAAATGCAAGATAAAAATAGGTATTTGTCATTTTGTATTTGCATTTTTAACGCAAGTATTTGCAGAACTTCTGGTTCAATCACAAATTATGATTTTCTTTGTAAAGTTAAAGAGGGGTATTCAAAGGTTCCTGTTCTTCTCCTGGAGTTAATCTAAACGTCCCTCCGTTATTTAGAATTACCCAATTTCTCGATAATGGGGTGCTTAGGTGTTAGATCCTTCAGCTTTAACTATGTATTATAGTAATTAATTTTTATCATTCCCTACCATTTTATTTCGTAATAAATAATTACTGCTAATAACGGAAGTGATTGAAATAATAGCATTCAATATCACTCTTGTTGAGGGTCCAATGTTTGGTCTCATACAGAAAAAAAGTGTTTCTATCCATGATTTTAACCCTTTATAGGGTTTATCACTTTTATCGCCTTTTACGATACGCTGTGATATCTGATAGCGGTGAGGTTATTCTAAATCACTCCGACCTCACACGGGGACATACTATATGGTACCTAGCACGCACTTTTTCAAATAATTGTCGAATATAAGGGTAGTTATTTCTTCTGTGATGTATTTTGTATATATACTGATTAAGTCCATCCTCTTTCTTTATATATAATAGTACATTTCAAATACATAGTTCGTTCTATTATTGTGTATCAAGAGATGGTACTATTCCTTTAAAATTTTTCATTTTACAAATACAAAATTCGTTTGTAAAAGTATTTTAAATAAAATAAAAAATGTTTTTCTCAAAAAAGTATTTAAATGTGATGTATTTGCATTTTAAATACAAGTACAGTGTAAACTCTATATAACGACACTTGAGGGACTGAACATTTTTCGGCGTTATAAAGAGTGGTCGTTAAATGGAGAGAAATAAAAGATATTATTTTACTATTCTGTAATAATATGCATTTATAATAATATGCATTTACCAATGCTTTTTGCTACTCCAATATTTTAATTCTATTTTGTTACGTATCTTACTCATATCTTGAGATAGGTACTGTTGGATCAATTTGATTATATAAAAAGTATTTTTTTAATAGTTTCGCTGCATCAAGCGCTTGTTTGATGCTTGGTGGAGGGACAGGATCGTCTTCTTCAACAACGTACACCGCTGCAGTTCTTATCTATTTCGGCAACTTAGAAAGTACTGCTCAATGATTTATAATGCCGCATTGTTGTCGTTAAATAGAGTGAGCGTGACGCTATATAGAGTGTAATATTGTATAGAAAACAATCTAAACCGACCAAAGTCGAGCAATTTTAAGGAGTTTGTCGTTAAATCGAGTGACGTTATAAAGAGTTTACACTGTATTTCAAATAAATCCTATATCTAATCTTACTTTTCATTAAAGCATCTCTCATAATTTGGTTCACGCTACTCAAAATTGTTGCCCCTTTCCAAAAGAAACAAACCTTCAGGACAAATCACCAGGAATAGAAATAAAGAAACAAAAACCGTTTTCAATCTGGCGTCAAAATTTAAATACAAAATACCTACGATCAGCCAAATTGTTCAAAAAACCACTCGCAATGATTTAGACATCAAATGGTAAAATATTCTGGATTTGACCAAGAGCCTTTTGGCACCGACTTGACGTCCGATATTTATATTATTGACGAAATTTGACTATTTATGATTTTACCAAAACCCATAACCGTCATGGGTTATGGTAAAATCGTTAAAAAATATGCCGACCGCTTTTATAGATACCACTACAAATTTTGTATTTTAATTCAACATAGTCGAGGCTTTCTGATAAGGAAAAGCTCGAAGAAGAACAAGAGAAAATAATAGAACCACCACCAGAAGTTGAAAAAGGTTCCAAAAAGAAAAAGAAAGACAAAGATTCAAAGAAGGGCTCTAAGAAAGGCGACAAAAAAAAGAAGAAAGACAAAGGGAAAAAGGGTGACAAAAAGAAGAAAGACAAGAAGGTAGGTGACATTAAAAAAATACAACGTGTAATTAAATTATACAACACGCTACTGAAGTGAAACTTCTTCAAACATATAAACACACCGGGATAGGGGTTAAGGATAAGGGTTTAATGGTATTATTTGTACACTATGCTTCGCACGGGTGCAATGCTGATAGTAAATATACTATAGAATGTCTTTATATACAACAATCACAGCTTTTTTGTCATTAGACAATACAAACCGGCCGGTACCGCCGCAACCGCTATGTCCTTGCATTTTAAGTCTGTCATATCTTCGAAAATATTCATTTAAATTACATACTGCAAAGGGCCATATTGATCTATATTAAATGCACAATGTATTTAGAAGTACTTAATTGGATAAGGATTAATGTTGTATTGTTTAAAATCGCTTCCTAAATAAGCCATTATTTCTCCTAAAAAGTAAAGGATAAAAATGGTTATTGTGGGTTATCCCTAAGAGATAGACATATACCATCGCGGACTTTTTTGTAGACCTTTTTAAGGTGTACAATACTGTAGTATATTATTTTGATCTATCTCGTAGGGTTCAGCCAGCGTTTGCAATGTAAGCGCAAAAAAATTGCTTATTTACGACATCACATTACAACCCTCTAAAATTATCAGTGTTTCTCCACTATATTATGCATGTATTGTACATATAAACCTTCCTCTTGAATTACTCTATCTATTAAAAAAAACCGCATTAAAATCCGTTGCGTAGTTTTAAAGAACTAAGCATACATAGGGACAGACAGCGGGGGAAATGCGTTGCATGATTTCGTTACATAGCAACTCGCATGAAACGAACTTACCCTACCGTGCGTAAAGAAGTTTCACTTCAAAAATAAAACGTGTAATTATACAACGCGTTACTGAAGTGAAACTTCTTCAAACACACAAACATATCGGGATAGGGGTTAAGGAATTAAGCAGCCGAAGTTGTCTGTAACGAACGTTGCATTGAAGCGCGCTCACGGTTCAAGCGATCCCCACTACGAGACATCCGTTGCATGATTTCGTTACATAGCAACTCGCATGAAACGAACTTACCCTACCGTGCGTAAAGAAGTTTTACTTCAAAAATTAATATAATAATTGATAGCTACATGATATGATAAATAAAATAATTTTTAGAAAAAAGTCAAAGAAGAACCTCTCGTCGACATAGTTGAAGTATTAAAAGAGTTAGAAAAAGTTCTTGAGAGTTCTGAGGAATTAAAACAAATTAGAAGAAACTATGAAATGGAGAAGCAACGAAAAGACACTGTGGACTACCCATACGATTACAATTTTACCTACAAACCAATATATCTTCATTTCAAAGTAAGAAATACCTACCCTTAATTCTAACGATAACCGAATTCCGTTTGCCATTGTCAAAAACAAAAAACACCAATTGGTTTTGTTTCACTTTTGTTTTAAACAAACAACAAAAACAAAATTAGTTCGCCGATTTTAATTTTTAATAAACACTGACCTATTAATTACCTATGTAATGATGCATAGACATAACTATTAATTAGTACGTATTCTTAAATTAGGACTACGAGCAAAAACATCATTACAAAAAAACTGTAACAATACTGAACGCAAGCACTTACGCAAGGAAATTTAGATATTTAAAGACCTTATGGGATCAGCCATGGGACACCCCAACCCTCGAGGTAAGTTAGTTAAAGTTATTAGGATTTCGCACGTAGCTACCTAATTAAACCTACCCATATTAATATATTTATTTATTTACCATAAAGTTCTCCATATACACTAAAAATATTATATCCAAAGGGTAATATCGTCTTTCTAAAAAAAAGTACGTTACGGGGAATAATATAGGAATACCTTCAGTCATCTTTTCATACATTCATATGTAAATAATGAAGTAATTTGCGTGCGTGTGTGTGTATATGTCGTAAGTAATATCAAGTGTTAGAAAGAGAAGGTAAATTAAAAGCGAGAGATAATAAAACAGACAAGTCGAGAGATTAACGAAGAAATTTTTCACAAAATGGATATGGCAAATTTTAATCCCATTGTAACTTCGTCTACCAGGAGAACATAAACGCGCTCAGCGTCGAGCCTCGTCAGTACGAAAACTCCGTTGTTCAATTTTATGAAATAGTTTATAATTGTCCGCAAAAGCAGCACTTGCAAGGCTGCTTCGTTCCAAGAGGCGTGGTCACGCTATTTTTAGGTACATTTAGAAAGGAAATTCCATAGGCGTGCTACAGTTTTGATAAAAGGATTAATGAAAATTTAAAGAAATGCGTGCAGTACAAAAATAGACGTCGTCTTCCTGTTTTAAACGTATATGTGTACGCTTATTGAAATTATTAATTAAAAATAATATAAAATTAGCTTTTATTGGGTGAAAGTTGATATTAAATTTGCAACGGCAATTGTTTCGCTATTCAAAATGTTTATCAAGTCTAGTTGAGTTGTTGAGGTCCTGAAATAGAATGGCACCATCAACTTTTGAAAAAAATATGAAATGGTACAGGAAAATTCGTACAAATACCTTATTCATTCAACTTTTCATATAAATAATAAAGTAATATAGGTACAATAAATTTAATTTAAGGCTTTTGAATAGAATGGAAGCGGTACTGACAGATCAGTATTGTATGAAAATAAATAAAAGTAAAACTAAAATACTGATATGCAAGGGAAAAAATCCGAACTATATTAG